CCCGCTCGGACGGGCGACGCCATGGGCGTAGACTTCGACGTGAAGACCTTCTGCCACAACCTGCGGGCCACCAAACCCCCCTACGAGTGCCCGGTGGGCACCTGCCGCAAGATCTACAAGAGCTACAGCGGGATCGAGTACCACCTCTACCACTATGACCACGACAACCCGCCCCCGCCCCAGCACACCCCCCTGCGCAAGCACAAGAAGAAGGGGCGCCAGGCCCGCGCCGCCAACAAGCAGTCGCCCAGCCCCTCCGAGACCTCCCAGTCGCCTGGCCGGGAGGTGATGACCTATGCCCAGGCCCAGCGCATGGTGGAGGTGGACCTGCACGGCCGCGTCCATCGTATCAGCATCTTCGATAACCTCGACGTGGTGTCCGAGGACGAGGAGGTTCCCGAGGAGGTGCCCGAGAACGGGAGCAATAAAGAGAACACGGAGACGCAGAGCGTCCCACCCAAATCTGGCAAGCACAAGAACAAGGAGAAGCGTAAAGACTCCAACCACCACCACCACAATGCCTCGGCCGGCACCACACCCAAGCTCCCCGAGGTGGTGTACCGGGAGCTGGAGCAGGACACCCCTGATGCCCCACCTCGCCCCACCTCTTACTACAGGTATGGGCCGTACCCGGGGCGTGGGGAGGTTCCTGGGCAGCTCTAGCTCATGCCCCGGGTCCGGAGGCGGAATTGGCCCCGCTCTGTGCAGGTGGTTTTTCTGTGGCTCATGGAAATGGCCTCCATCTGCCTCTCCCGAGTCCCATGGAGTTGGCAACCCCGTGGTTTCAGGCTCTCAGATCTCTGTCTGGCATCACACCCTGGTTTTGAGGGGTCCGTGTGCCTGCAGAGCGCTCGGTCACTGCTTAGGTCATTGCCAGCGGTTGGATTGCTGCGCTCTTTCCTTGCTGGAACAGCAGGTACAGTTATAACAAAAAACCAACCGCGTCCTCCTGCCTTCCCCACTGCACTTCAGAGGTATGCTGGGGTAGCTCCAGAGCCCCACAGCATCAAGGTGTACCTGTAAGATATGTCTGTTGGGGAGCTTAATGTGTCTTTGTTGTCCTGTGGTTTTCCCATGCGTGATTTGGTGAGTGCGGTGGCCCAAAGCCATACCTTGAGCAGGGATTCAGTACTGAACCACAGTAAGGCGTGTGTGGCCACCCCGCCATCCTAGTCACCACATGCCCTGAGAAACAGGCACTGCGCTCCAGGGACAGGATCATGACGTTATTTTGTGCCAGGGCGTTGGAAAAGAAACCTCCTCCTGAGGTGTCTGCTTTGCCGCTTGCGATGGTGGAGGGTGGTTGCCATCAGTTGCTGGAGCAGCAGCCTTGGCGCTCCAGCTCTTTCCTCTCTAAATAACATCCCCTCACCTGCCACTGGGAGTGAAGGAAGAGGGCACAGCCACCCTCACCAGAATTAATGAAACGTGGTGCCTTTCTGCCTGGTTGCTGTTGTGTCTTGGGCACGAGGCCACTGTCTCTAGAGCATCTGGCACCTGCTCGGTGGCTCATGCAGGCTCCCATCTTGCGCCAAGGAGTCTCCAAGGCCCGTAGCTCACCCGTGAGACGAGTGTTGTTTTGTCTGCATCGTGCCCAATGCGCTGTTGTGCCGCTGCGCTGCTCAGGGTGCAGCAGCACCTGCCGCTTCTGCACGTTCCTGCCTAGTCCCTGTTATTTTTATTTTGACATATGGCTTGGCTGTAGT